ATGAATCGCAATCATGAAACATTTTCACACCGAAAAAGGTACTAACCTTTGACTTAATTTCTTTTACTTTAGCAAGCAGCAGAAGAGGGAATTTTAAGTAAGAAACGCATGGTATTTTAGACAATGAAACACGGGGTTAAATCTTTTAATTGCTTTTTCTGTCCCCAAATAGCAGAGCGAATTTTAAGCATTACTGTATTTAGTAAGCCAAAAATACTCCAACGTGTTTAGAGTAAAAACATGGTTGCTAAGGTAAACTGTAGTCAAAATTTCGGGAAGGACATTACTTCACGGATATGAAGCTGAGGGTACTCACTTCAGGTCGAATTCCTCTGCCCAGAAGATGCTATTACCAAGGCATTGTTTGCTGGTTGTTCTTGCATAAAGCGTTCGGTCTAGACAGATATCACAGTAGTATCTAAAAGCATAATAACGCGGGACAAATTAGTAGCTGATCATATTTAAAGGCATTGCACAACAATGAAATAAATAAAAATGTCAGTCCGTGTCCGTGTGGCGTCAAAGATATCTGCTAGTTAAATCATTGTGAATGTCCTAACTATTAATGCTAACAGTGTGGGTTTTTGTGGGTGCATGGCACAGAAACCGGTTAATGCAATGCTCGACGCAGCACAGATCCTTGGTTCGCACAAGACTGTGTGGAAGAAGCCCACTGCTTGCGATTAATCTGACATCGTGCGTGAGACAGCGTTCGGCACTAGATACCACCGTACGCCAGAGCATGACCTTACGTCGACGACAATTTCTGTCTTCATGCTTTTCCCGTAGGGTTTTAGGCGGTCGTTTTTGCGCAAATACGGCGATTACAAACTAAGGAGTAAGAGGAGAAAAAAACGAGCTTAAAAAAGATGACGAAGGTCAAAAATACGATCGGAACAGCTGTTTCACATTCCCGATGGAGCAAATGTGGAAACTTCATATCCGTTTCACTGACGCCGAGAAAGTGAAGTATTACGGCCACCCCGACGGTAATTGGGCTAATTTACTTACAAACCCGAAAGGTTTTCGAAGCGCAGTTTTATGAAATTTTGCTAACAAACGAGGGCAATTTGCAGCATTAAAGCGTGTGAAAATAAAAGATTCTTCGACAACTTCATCAGTATAATGTTTATAAAGTGTAGGTGCGCAAAACCTTTAGTACTTGCACCTGTATTTCGCTCCATGAGCCAAAAGGCTAAAAGCACCTTGGCTATAAAGCAGAGTAGCAGGGAGGTTTAGGGCAGTAGAGCAAAATAGCCCCATGAACAGGTAGAACTGCATCTAATTAAACAAGGTATGCACAAAGTGCTTATCGAAATTCATGCTTGGTCCAAATTAAATCCAGCAGATAGTTGGGCTTTTTGAAGTAACACAATCCTGCTTAAATGCGGTACCACCCACGTTAAACACCGGATCCGAGGCACCTTCGTCTAGAGTAGGCATTTGCGAAAAAAATTCAGTCATTTCAAAGAGTCAAATTCGATTTACAATCAACTGGTGTTTGTGTAGTGGCAGGCGTAGCTAAGAGAGATTTTTATTTTAGTGTGGAAAGCGCACTCTTAAAAACAATCAAGAAGAATATGGTAGATTGGTAACATTGGAAATTGTTATGAATCCCATTTCATCAATTGGAGAAGGACGGAAATCACAAATATTAGCCTTAGTTTACGAATGTCCATAACAGTGAAGGGAACCAATAAAACTAACAATTGTCATGACTACTGAAATAGTTATCCATATGAAGATGAAAGAAGCCCGGGAGAAACTAGATAGTCTGTAAAACCTACGCGTTAGTTGCCAGTGCCCTCGAGTTGGATGTAGGTTGGATTGCAAATATGTGGCCCTACCAAACGACCTGTAACGAGGTTGACGGACAAAGATGCAATTGCTTCCATTTTGAGTTAATTTACTTAGTTCTTTAATGAAAGTAAGTCGTCTTTCGACCTGAGCCAGAGTCAAAATTACTGATAGCCAAGGCATGACCAACAACACGTTAGTAACCTTGGTCTCCGAGGGAAATAGATTAGCACCAATTATTTTTGCTTTTTTCCCATTCCAACTCAAATTATCTCCTTCCAATCAAACGTGCAGCATTCCTGCGGTGTGAGGGATCAGGCAAGGAAATTTGAGTGTCACTGTAGAGGGACTTTACGAACGGCTTTATCAGGTAGTAAAAAAAGTGTTGCTGTTATTGTTGCTATTATTAATACAGTTTATACACTTTTAGTGCAGTTTTTAGTGCGCATTTTTTACAAACCTTCAAAATATTTTCTGTCGTCTTCTAATCTCCCAAAGTACATTTGCCTTCCTAAAATGCCACCCGTACAATTATGCATAAAAGAAAATGTAGACAGTTGTTCGTCGTTTTCCTCTTGTACTGCAAATTTGCAAAAAAGCCACTGAAATGGCTCCTCAAAATCACATGCCAGAATGTTCTATTGCGCAGTGCGTAGCCAGTTAATGCAATACCACCACGTTTAAGGAATCAAGTGGTGTAGAAGCACTGAAATTTGGAAACGACACTGGGAGTTGATGGGAAAAGCCGCCACGGAAGGCAGTACCAGCCCGCGGCATGAGTCACAGCGGTGTGTTGCAGAGGCAGGCGTTCTCTCCGCTATGACACCGAGGCGCACGCGCTGTCGCTGCGCTGCCGAACCAGATTGGGACCGAGTGAGTCACACGACAGGAGGGTGGTGTACCACGAAATTAACGTCGCCTCGTTCAACGTACATCTCGCAGCAAAAATGCTGACGACAACACACAATCCGACAAAGCACAGGCCTATTATACACAGTGCGTGCACACAGTGATGCCTATTCAGGCAAAGTCTGCCTGCTACAGCAACCCCATTTCAATTCAAGTTGTGGGCATTTCACGTTTGTTAATTGCAGGCCCAAAACATCGTATTGTGGAGACTACAACAGTTTTTAGAGCCGGCCGCGTCACAAACCACTCGAAATGGTTTTTAGCTATCAGCAAAACTGCATTTTGAGTTTGTCTCCCCGTAATTGTACTTCACGCACCATCCTGGTCTGATTGGAATCGGCAATTACGACTACTTCCAGATCTATATGTTCAAATAAATGGAGATCAGGAAGTGATTGGTACCAAATTTTAAAACTACGTCAATCAAAAATATGTGTGGAGTTATCAGATCTGCAAAGTTGGGGCCTTTGACAAGCATCATCCCGTCTTCACCAGTAAACTTTTCAATAAGCCAAATCATGCATATGCCAGAACATGTAAAGTGGTGAACGAAAAAGTCAGCTTCTCTTGATTGTGTGATAAATACTTGGAGTACATATTAAATTTTCACCACACTGATAAATGTGCCGTTCGGCATTGAGGTATACATAAATCCTCTCCAAAATGCACGCTAAATTACGCGATTAGTGGTGTACTTCACAACGACTTTTGGAACGATATTTTCCTCCTGGAAATGATTAATGTAGACGCAGGGATTAGTTTCTATATCCCTTCCTCATGCCAGTAAATCCGAGATAAGATCACCAAAAGACGGCTACAGTGTATACGAATGCAAAAGCAGTCTCTGACATGGGTAGAGACAACTGTTATAGAGCCGAAACAGCTACATTTGTGCCGGAACGAAGGCGGTCGCTGATGATGGTTTGCGAGTGCATGTCTTACTGCTTGAACAACGATGAATATAAAAAATACACTACCATCAGCAGAGAGGTCTGGGAAATCCGCATAAGCTATAGGTTTCCTGTTCGGCCCATAAAGTTAATCTGAAATATGTTTAGCACACACATAAAAGTCGCTCTATGGTATTCCAGCTGGGGGAAAAAAATGACTAAATAGTGTTTTAGGTTTAAAGCTAGACTGAATGATGTTTTGAGTAGGATGTCAAGCCCTCCACAATTCAGACGCTGCAAATAAGTAGGCACGTGGGCAAATCATATTATCAGACTTTACGATACAGTTGAAAGACGTATGGTGGCAGTGATGTGCTGGAACTCCAAATCCCGGTAAAGCGTACCGTGAAAAATCGTAGTTGAAGAGATAATGTTCACTAATTGCAATGATTGATGACTAAGTATTCACTGCCGCAAAAAAGACAATCCATCCTAGCAATAGCATTGCACTCGACTAGGCGCAGAAGCGTCCAACCTCCGTGCATGGCAGGTCCTCAAGCATCCCACACTTCTAATAATAGTTTGCTTGTGCACTGTGGAAACCCCAACTTACGACGAAACCACAACACCCCATGGTAAGGCAAACAAATGAACAGATAGTTTTCAACTTCTGGCTAAAAAGACACAAGAGCTTAAAGTCAGCGAAATTTCGCCAAGATCAAAGTGCGATATGCGAAATACGATACTTGAAAACGCAAATTGAAGGGATATGCACTTTGCAAAGTTCAAAATGCGTATCTTCAGTTAGCGCATTTCAGAGAAAAAACACCAGAATCCAACTAGATGACAGCCTAATCTTGCAAAGCGAACTCAAACCATATTCCAGCTTCGTCTCATGAAGAAATTCGGAGGATTGATTGGATTGCTACAAAGTGTTAGCACTATATGTAGTGCAAAACAATCCAAACGCTTGATCTTTTTTGAGACGGATAACGATAACCATCTTAAGCAACGAGTGACCCCAGACGAGTGTTGAGGCTTATGTTTGAAAGTAAAAGTAAGTGTGTATATTTCAGTCGAAATGACTACCAGGACACGCTGAAAAAGTCCAACACATCAATCGGCACAATAAAGTACTGCAGCAAGAAAAGGAGAGTGACGACTTGGATAACTGTGCAAACTCACCTTCTCTTGTTGTGAAGACCTTTTGCCTCAAGAATGGAAAGAAAGAGGGAATTTTCGCGATGCCTTTCGTTCTCGAGGTTTGGTTTTGCAGTTCTGCGTAAGCTAAAGGGGAAAAAATCAAAAAATACGATGAATAAAGAAGTGTCAGACTAAATGGAATTTTTCTTTACGCAGTTAGGGGAAAAAGCGCATTGGGAATACAGAGTATTATAAACCGGGAGGAGATAACGTTAAGTCCGATTACATGGGTAGTTAGCCTTACCCGTCTTACAATACACAGAGAGAGATCAGGGAGGTGTAATGAATAAAAGGGATATGGAGAAGATAACGTGGGAGTTAATTGCGAAAGGCAACAATAAAACCTAGGTATTGTGAGAAGATGCTAACTTAACAACAAAGGGGGTAAAAGGAAATAGCTTATTTAGCTTTGAAAGCTATTACAAATACATTTAACTAGTCTTCCACTCTTATGCAAACTCAAGGAAGTCATTTGGAGTGATGAGTTTGACTGAATTAGATACATGGATAATGACCCTATATGGGTCATCCCATGATCATTGCCTAAAAACTGTGCGGTAGCTTTATGCGAATCGTGTTAAAAGAATATGATATTTTGAATGTGAATTACCATGATGTATACGGAAACAGCACTCGAGGACCTATGAACGCACCCACTCATACGCCTATTTTCGACTACCAAAATGGTAATGTCCCCAAAGCGTTAGCGTATGAAGGTGTAGTGGTAAATCTCCATAATTAACTCAGCTATTAAGGCATCAAATTACTGGAGAATTAGGGGAGCTCTATCAGTTTAGCCTTACGCCTTAATAAATATTGCTTTAAAGAGCTAGCCGGGGAAATGAGGTGGAGATAAAGACGTTTCAATGAAAGTAATTTCTATTTCACAGATGGTTGAGGGAGTAAGACGAATCCCGCCCTGAAGTATGAGACCGCTGAATCGTTGAACAAATGAAAGTTTTAAACATCCACACACTGTTTAAGGTGTGATTTTCTGCTTTCGGTCAATGAATGTTAACCTAATCAACGCACTAGCTTGACCGGCGGAATTTCTCCTTTGAATGATTAGAGAAATTAGAATTTTCAAAAGTTTTTTTGATAGGTTGCAGTGAATTTCAGGAAAGAAGCTGAATTAACCAACAGATAAGTAAAGCTATTTGGGTTATTTACAAGGAGAGTTTTAAATGACCGGTGAAAAGTAGAGCCTGATCGCATTACCTAGACTAATTCATGTGCACAGTGCGTTTCAACACCAGGAAGTGCAGCTATTTCGACTTGTGACTGTGGACGTGTTAAGAATTGCACGATTAAAAACGCTGCACCCTGGTAGAAAGGATTCGATGCGACGAGGCATTTTCGCGGATGAGTTAGACTCCAATCTGTGTAGAGCGACTCAACCAACATCTTAGTGCTTTTGACGAAATTCTATTATTATGTGAATGAAACTAGCAAAGCACAAGTTCACATCAGCCAGTCTGAATATTATATTCTAAAAGTAAATGTCAGTGATCGGGTGGTTTTGATGAAATGCTCTTTTCTCTGCATCCATCCTGGAGCACACGTGGGCTGAGCTGAAAAGGCATCAGCCGCCTGTTCATCCCCTTCGATCCCCTCCACTTCCCCATGACCGTGCCATGACCCCATGGCGTGCGCGGAAGCAGCAAACTTACTGAGGTCGCGTACCCGGCCAAAGTGAGACAGTCGGCGTTTATGCGTACTTATGCCGAGCGCCACTATGGAGCGGGTGTGGTGACCGTGCAAAAATATTCGTGGCAGACACCCAAGCATCAAGTCAAGTCGCAATATGCCATTTTCTCAGTAGACAACAAATCACGGGTGATTAATGTATTACATGAGTTGTGGTTCATAAGTGGAGAATGGCACTAAAGCGTCTAAAGCCTCCCAATGCACAGAATATTGGGTAATAAAGTTTGGGCAAGCTTTCCATCGTACATGCCGGAACTTAATTTAGCAGCAAAAACGATGTTATAATATTTTAAAGGAATACTGTTTCATTGTATGTTCTATGCATCTAGATGCTATACGTTAGGTTCTGTTTTTTTTTCTTTTCAATAGACATAAGAGAAGTCGTTTTATCTCAGCGATGAATTACGACGAGTGCAGTAGAGCAACAAAGATAATAAATTTATGGCATAGGTTAAAGGCAATCCATGGACATGAACTTCAAGGTTCGTGCCAAATTCATGGAATGCGAAGATTGCGTGTTTGAGAGGTTACAGTTACTCTATTAATTTACCGTAAATTACCTCAGCGACTAAATTTGGAATTTATGTAAGTACCTACCTATCATCTGTCTAGTACTAAGGATCCATAACAGCCGTCTTAATAAGAAAATTGGGTAAAACCGGTACACATCCACAGCTTCACAAACACACAATACGTACCGAGCAGATGGGTTTATAAACTATTAAAAATAAATGACTAGAGGGGCAGAATAATACCATTTGAACATACAATAGTTGAAAAATGCAGTGATCGAGTATTAAAAAATCACGAATATTGTCGCTAAATAAATTTGTTGGTGCAGGAAACTAGAAAGAAACTGCTAATTGTCTCATTGGAGTGAAGGCAGGTATAAAATCACTTACGAAATGGACCCAACCCAGGGATCGTTGTATCTCTCCTCAAAATCTAATAGAGACGAGAACTGTTGCACATCCAGAGAACGAAGTTTTCTCAGTGTACTACTGCTTGACCTGTGGTGGCTCAAGGAGAGCAGACTTAATCCCGAGTAATGGTAGTGCTTCTTGTGTGTGATCGGGAGGGACAGATTTCCATCCACAACTGATGGCAAAATATTACTGCTCTTTTTCCGTGTATGACCCCGAGCGTATTCCTGACTAGTAATTGAGGAGACGAGGCTATGCATACTGGCGCTACTAAGGTGTTGCGGGCGTCGATTCGAATACCGCAAATTTTGCTCGTCTCTTCCATCCCCTTTCCCGTCTGTCTGGCGATTGGATAATGTAGCTAATTGAGCCTCCAACGCAGCCGACATGACAGGCGCCTCAGGTAGGAGGGGACTAGAATTTGAAAGCTCATCCAGGGAACCAGCTGTTAAGATTGATGGAAGTCTCCATTCCCCTGCTTCTGCATCGCTCAAAGGTGCCCCTTGGAATCGAGACGAGATATAATCATGAGGTTTTTGACTCGGCGAAGGCGGCGTGGATGCCTTAGAGCCACGGTGACAGAACAACATGCCCTCTCACAAAACGCTAGCACAACACCATGCCGAGAATTACGGCGTTTATCCGAGCGTACACACCAACGCACACGTTCTCGTTGCTTTTGGCTATGACGTACGCACGAACGCGCACACACGTGGTTGGTGTACGCCACCGTCACATAACCAATGGTATGAAAGTCATGCTCCCATTGGTTAGCACAAAGGCCAATCAAAAACACTAACACTTAATACTTGTTTTAGCACAATCCGAGGTATCTGCGTGAAGGTTCTGGGGGGAGGGGGGGCTCACTTGCCAAAGTAGATATTAATTGTGATCTGTGGTACCTAAAACGGCATTTCTTATCCAGCTAGGTTCAGTGGAATAGGTTTACACAATGCAAGGCTGATTACACCAAGAAAAGTTCAATTTGTTTAATGGACTTGAGTTTTCTGACAAGTTGTACTAATAAAGGCCGATTTTGTAGACGCGAGAGCAAACAATAATGTGAAGATAATTTCATTTTGATTATCTTAGGACTGAAAAAGCCTATGCAAAACACATAGCTTGAAGTCAGCTTAATTTCATTGTATCGCTCGCATTTACCAGTGCGATGATGACGTATTACTACACTACTTCGGTATTAATATCCTCTCGAAGTAGGGAACCGTATGATGCGCGGTTACCAACTATCGACAGTAGGAAACAGACGGGTATAAATACCATAATCCTTTGTGTTAAGCGCCTTTTCACAAAGTTGGAACATCCTCAATCTCAAATTGTTTACCGGAAGGGACGTTTAGTGTACGAAGAGGACGTTCAGAATAGATGTGCAAAAAATTTACAGCTTATCTCAAACTTATTCCAATGTCTTTGTAACTGAAGACTGGCGTCTTATTAATTTCCAGCTAAGCTCTTGTTGTCTTGATGTCAAAACCTCCTGACTTGTGATTCCTGTTAAAATGAATAAATTACAGCATGATTTTTCTAACCTCCCAAGGACTCACAATTTGTTAGTTCACTTAAGTACTGACAAGACTGGCATTCTGACTAATACAGAAAAGCCGTGCACACTGTGAAACTCCTCTGAATCTGCCTTCATAAACGCCGCTGGAAAACAACTGACCTGCAAAACTAAAAATAGCCAGTGCCTCTTCCTAGAGGCTGTACAAGCACTGTTTTTTTCCGAACAGCCAAACGCACAACTAATCGCTTCAGGCACATCTGAGATCAAGCTCATTTTTAGTAGTATTCGTACCTATCATTTTATGCGGTGTATTGAATAGTCATTTGGGCGCCAAATGCTGCCAAACCCAGGTAGATGCAAGGACACAGGCACTGGCACATTAGCACAGACTCTGTATTTTTCACTTTCCATCTGTAGCTCACGGCCACTTTCCAATGTCACCAAATTTCGCACATTCTTGAATTTAAAATTGTTTTGATTTTGAACTAAATTATGCAAAGATGTAAGATGGAATAATTAATGGGGTTTCAGTCGCATTCAGTAACAAATGCTTTTGTTTACTTTCGTCCAATTGTTCTAAGTCCCTTAATTAATTAAAAAAATAATCTAACCTAGTGGACGGGGTGTGATTTGCCTTGCTGACGTTGACATTAGATGCATGAAAACGGGGAAATTGGTGCACACGTGTAAAAAACCAAATCCGTACCGGCAAAAGAAATGGCAAGTTACAAGCAGTAACTGACAGTTTTATTAAACTATCTTCATCATCAGTAATCAGTGGGGTGCTATGCGCTTTTTAGAGCTGCGGCTAGTAATTTTGCTAGTTTTTAAATGTTAACACGCAGAAAGGACATTTATTCGCTGCCTGAATTTACCTCATTTGCCCAGATATAACAGTATTGATACCGCCTTTTGCATAGAAGCAGATAAACAGGACTCTGTGCATTTTGCTCGAATTCGCGGCGTTTAGATTACAACATGTTGTTTTTGCTTTGACAGGAGATTCGTTAATTACTTTTCGATAAAGTGCGTGCTATTGAAGTGACAGATGCGACGTGTTTACCGGCAGCTTATTATGTCTAGTTGGACTAAGTCAAGTCGGGACCGGATCGAGTCAAAGCAATGGAACACACCTAGGATGCCCTTGGTCTGGTGATAAACACACTTTTTTTCGTTTTTAAGGAGCATAAATTTGAAGTAAACATGTCTTTTATGGTATACAGGTTTCGGTTTTCCCGTAAGGTCCTAGAACCAAACGTGCTAATGCAACGAATTCATCCCGAAATTAGTTCAAAAGCAATGATCTGGTAGCTAAATTGTTCACTCACTTGGGTGATTGAAGGTTAAACTAAACCGTCGCAATATTGTAAGTACAAATTATATTGGAAGAGACGTTCATTCAAATTTAGTTATTGTAATTTATTAAGGAATTTGATAAACAGTTGAAAGAATGGAATTGTGAGTTTACTGCTGATGAATGGAAAAAAAAACATGCATAAATATTTGAAAATATGAGCCGCGGTGAGAGTCGACTAAGTGTCTTAGAGATTCATGTACTAATTTGTGTGAAATTGTATTCAAGGTCACCAGAATTTATACGAACTGACACATTTAGCTTTGCGAAGGCGAAATAAATGTATACGCACCCAATCGCCATGGTGTGGTGTGGTGTATGTGGTGCTCAACCACTCCTGATTCTGCGCCAGTGTCGACAAATCACACTCGTGAGTTTTCCTTTTTTTCGGGTTGGGGCGTTGGTGAGTAAACTCCTAGAAAGTCCCCAATGTTCTTATTGGTCCGTGTCAAATGATCCCGGTAGTAATCGAAAAGTGCCATCGGGAATCAAGGTGGCCACAAAATTGTGGCACCAATCCAACTTTGGGAACTCCTGAGTATGCTAGAACCTCTAACACCGCCGAAATTATGGTGGAAATTACCAGTAGATGTTCTAGGGTCATTAACGAGCAGAAAACGTGAGGGGGGGGAGTTGTTTGCAAGCTCCTGAATCGGTCTGTCTCACAAGAATGTGCTGACAAAATCGAAGAAATTGTGGATAGAAGGTCTACTCAAGCGGAAGAAACGTCAAATTACTGCCGTCGTAGCATTTAGCTCAACAGGTTCCATACTCCTGTTTGCAAAGCATTGATAAATCTTCCATGCTAACAGCTACAGCAGTCTCTTATGTTTGCCACTTTACTAATACATTTCAGGAGGTACGGCTAAGCCCAAATCAAATTAACCCAAAATTCACCCTACATAGCTTATGTCAAGTGGCGGTCTCGTTGCTGATAAACATCAAATGAAATAACCTTGCCGACTAAGAGCAGTTGACAGTCTAACTTTAAAGGGACAGAGTATATGCAAGTGAAACTTCGGTTTCGCAATTTACTTCCTTGCCATAGTATTTGGATAGAGAGGTAGGCATCCCAGACACAAATATTTTATTGAAGTACACGTGAATACACTATGTATGACTAAATTGTTATTACACTAAAATAATAGTTGACTAAGATGGGTTGATAATAAGTTTTGTATGAAGGATTATAAGGGTAGGCAAAAACAGCAGCATTTTTAATCACCCAGGATACAAAAAAGCGTTAATGCACCAAAACTAGTTTGCATCAACCATTTCTGGAAAAGTTTGCTAGCTGAACAATCTGTATTGATGCCACTTTGAATACAACGAAAGATGTGTACTGTCAGCAACAGTGAATCCAAATCCGAGGCAAACACACATAATACTTCCAGAAATTCAATGCTCTTGAATTCCTTTTTAACTAGATAAACGACACAATTCTTCCATTTTAAACGAACCTTGTCGTTGCAATTACGAATTGAAGCGGTAATAAAAATTGAGGTAAATTTAAATTACTACGGTCACAAATCATCGCGAATTTGAGTGGACGTGATAGCAATGCCTCTTTCATAGCCTGAGTTTGTATATTACAGAATAGTTTAGTGAAATTCCACAACATTTATGATGGAAAATCATGAAGACGCATTGGTTTGTTCATTAATTGCACTGCTTAGGAAGCAGGAGTCGTGGAAAACGTCTATTAGGAGTTTATATATTAATGAGGAAGTGAAGATAAACAGTGTTTGTCGAAAACAAACAGCAGGTATGCAAATTGCACACAATACTTTCCCACAGAATCAGCTAGATAATGAAAGTTGTCCAGAGTCTTCTGCTGCATACTTATTTTTAATCTGTATTATTTGGGTTAGGACAAACTCAATAAGTTGGAGATTTAAGTGCAAATGTAAAACAAACGTGTCATTGATGGGTTCAACGTCTCCACTAAATGACGCTTCAAAATTTCTAGACTAAGATTTTATCGTAATGCATTAAAAGTTTGGGAGTTAATGCTTCGCCTGAATTCTTTTTCATGAGTCAATGCTAATGCAGTGGAACAAATAACCTTCTGTTTAACATCACAATTTATGGTCAAAATAGCAGCTACTTAATAGCTGCTCCTATTCAAAACTTTACAGATGGAAATTTTTGAAAGTGTACCTAATAAAAAACGGCGAAGCTTTGAATGAAAAGGTCTAATTTACTGTGCTTGCGAGTAGGATTAACAAATACCTAATGCATGTATGACAGCCTACGAGGCACACCTGGTTAGCCAACAATTGCGCTCATGCCGAGAAGCTGCAGCGAAGATATGCGTCTCACCCGTCAATGTTTTGACATAAAAGCAATGCTCCTGCCCGCCTAGAAGACTGGCCTGAAACCTTCCAAACTCTAGCTCTCCACTTTTGATATCTATCTCGTGATTCTGTAACCGACTACTGGTGGATTTGTCGAGAAGCTGCTGCGAACGGGAGAGGAGACGCTTTCGGAGAGCCGAACTCCATTGCCTCAGTTTTGCTGGCTCTGCCGTTATGTTGCTCGACTCATCGGTCGAGAGATTGGCACAGCTCTTCTGTAGGCACACTGGATCAGCCACGGAGGGGGCACCAGGCTGCTGTGCTCTGTGGAGGAAAATAGGCGTAAACTACTAGTTAATCAGAGCATTAGATATGTAATCCAAGTTGAAAAGAATAAGTTGTCAAACTTGTATCCAAACGCCATCTTTGGCAACCTTAACGTTTAAAGAACCTGTATAAAATGACGGTTAAATTCATTGCTCTAAATTACAAATGAAGAAGTATTCACGGTAAAGTAGGAAATATGTATGCGATTAGAATGGTATTTACAATATCTTAATGATAGTCGAAGAGTCGTAAGTAAGGAGAGTGGAGTTGTTTTTGAGTCAAAGTATCCAAAAAGCCAAATAAGTTTAATCCTAATGCGAAGTCATAGAAACATGCCAATGAATTTGCTGGTGCCATTCATCGATAACCCAAGAGCCACTTGGATGTTCATGATTAGCTATGGGGAAAAAGTAAATTCAATGTCAAGAATTCCAAAATGCTACTGCAAATATGATAAAATTATTTGGAAAGTGGTAAAACTCGTGATCTTTTTCAACTGGTTATAATGTGCATCATTAGGGAACGCATATAACATTTGGAATAATGATACAGATGATATGCTAAAACCATAATAACTTACTTTTTGAATGATTGCTCAAATACTGGTTTTAATGTGTTGGCATTGGCAGTCTGGCTATCTTTAAAAGCAGGGATGTGTTTATCATCAACGGTTTTGCATGTCTGCTGAGCATTTGTATGAAGAACTACTGGAGTCTGTCGAGTTTGCTCTTCCAGAAGAGAAGTCCACGAGCCGCTGTCCCCCAAATTGATTGACGATGAGAGGTAGATGCGCCCCAATGTCGGTGGTTCTTGAGGCGAATGCCACCCGTCAGAGACTTCTTCATCGTCTTCAGGAAGCGAAATGGGAGTTTTGGCGGATCGCCGAATGAAATGCGAGAGCGAGAAACCACGCTTTGCAAATGACGCTTGCACCTTGCCACGTCCGTGTCGGCTAAACTTCGGCTTGGTAGCAGAAGCACTGTCTAACTCTCCTGGATGGCTTAAAAACACGTCTTCGGAATAAATGGTACCGGCAGGCGCCTTCTCGACTAGACATGCAGTAGATTTCGACCTACAAGTTAAAAAGATGTAAGAGATAATGGTGTTCCGGCTACTTTGAGTAACCTTGTAAACACTTAAAAATTGGATGATGCATTTTACTTGGACAATTTCCATTACACTTCCACAACTTATAAGCACTACAATTGAAGCCATCGTTTAGCCTTTTTATGTGAAAGTGGATAGTAGTCGTTCAAATGGTTTCTTTTGTAATTATGTCTCAGTTATGGGCTTTAACTTGGTTCATAAAAAAAGGAAAGTGTACTTAATTTTGAGTAATGTAGTAACCAAGCATTCTATTCTACGATTTAACCGCTTCCTATATGTAGGTACTCAGTAGTTGAGAAGCCCCATAAACAGCGATAATTTGGATCAGTGCTCGAAAAGTTTTCATAATAAAGTGTTGAGCTGTAGCACTTTAGTTATTTAACTCTCGGTTTTGGCAAAAGGCCACTTAGTTGCTCCGCTATTGTACCTTGGCCGGGTGGGCTGGCCTCTGAGCCATGCCGGTAGCCCTAGGCCCTGCTGTACGTCAACAATGCGTATTCTGTACGCCAATAATACTTATCCTTCCTGAGTATTATGTCGCCTTTCGTCTTCAAAAGAGTCCCGGGACGCTACAAAACTATTAAAAATTATGTGCAATTGTGGATTATGGGAACACTGTTCTATACAATGGCTGCAAATTTTGATGTTCTTCGACTCTTGTATTCAATATCCCAAACAATTTCTTTACGAAAATTAAGCTAAGAGGAGTCACAGTTGTATAGGCTGTTTCAAAATGTTTCGTTATAAGGTAAAATCCGGAAGCGCCTATGGTGATCTCCGGAATGAATGATGAATGGCGCCATCATTTACCTGAAATACACAATTGAAATTGCCAGGATTTTCGACTTTACAATATTTTAATTCTAAAACATTGCGAAAAATGTGCTGAAACATTGACCATCAAGGTGCCAGGTACTAAAATACTTCCCTTCTCGATTATCTACATTGCTTCAAAGTCTGCTAAACGAAGATGGAAATTGAAACCAGTATATGCAGATTACGCTGAGAGGAAGAAAGATGTAAAGCCAATTTGGAGAAATCAAGATGTTACTAAAACCTGCGTAGCGTTGTTCCTCTAGGACTAAGTAAAAGCCATCGTTAGTATAACTGGCAGTCATTCTTTCTGTGCATTTTAAAATGCACCTTCCAAATTTGATTTCATTCAATAATTTGGTGTCAAGGAATATCAATTCGATTTTAAGGGGTTGTATCTGTTGTAAATGAACTAAGGATGGCACCTACCTGGCTAGTTAAATTACATGGTGACAAGTACAAGGCATGTGGGCCTGTAGCCGTGATGGGTTTAGGATAACTACCTCATGGTGCTCACGTGTGGCAAGATATCGCATGCCATAGCAAACTGTAAAGGGTGACATTCCAGTTGTGCTTACGTTTGATTTCGCGGTAGATCCGGCCAGTGTGGGAGATCGCATTTAAAAAGTCTCCAACGCAAAGCTTAGGCGCATTCAACGACCACTCATCATTGAAAATGTGCTGAGGGTGAGGGCGAAGCGTTGGGGATATTTGACTAGATGTTTGACTCACCACGGTTGAGGCAAGTGATTCACACATGCAAAAAGTATAAACTTTCGCAAATTATTAGGTCAACACTAACGGGGGAAGTAGGCTGTTTGCATTAAAAGCAAAGCATACGAAAGAGGAAGGAAAAGCATCCACAGAAGTCACAACCCCTGAAAGCCGAAAAGTGGCAACTGGGCGGCATGTATGTCGCCCCAAATATGCAAAAAGCTGCGGTAAGGAGAAGTATTTGCGTGTGAAAGTTGAGTCGTTTTACTTCCGCGATGTTTGTGACGCAAAGGAGTATTTAGATAAGTTTTTTCTTTAAGGATACCTACATGTACATCTGGTTAAGTACGATAAGGGGGTCGGTTTGTTGATTGCGAAGAAGTAAATGGTTCAGGTACTCGACTGTTTGGCTTAGATGCACACAATATTCTGTAAGTATAGATCAGTAAACCGTTATTTCAATGTCTTCTTCCATCAAATGTTGAAATAACCGAAAGTTGGATGAACGATGAAGGGCCAACGCTTACCATGATTGCACTGCTTGGCCATGTTCTGACCGACGATGGTTTTTACACCAGAAATGACGACCTGGGATGTGATGATTCTGCAAGCAAGTTTGCATGATAATAAATTTGGATAATTTTTCTACTAATTATACAACAGCAGCAATAATTTACCTTCTTTTTTGCGTAGCTGGTCAAAACTGGACTTCCGAAAGAGGAAGGACCACTGAGCGTGTTTTCCTCGTAGGCATCGCTTCCTGTAATTGCCAAGACAGGCATGAACACATCACTCCAGAAATTGGTGTTTGAATGGCTCGACTATTATGGTGTCACATTAAATTCCTCAAGTAATTGCATTACTTATGAAGTTGTGAATAGGCGTGAAGGTCAAATTTGTCATGATGCAAAAGGGTTTGGGCTTAATAAAATCAAAAACGTTAGTACATGCTTTAAAGCAATGTATTTGACCAAATACCTCCTGTTTTATGCTCATGTGGACAAAATTCCTTCTTAAAGTAAGTGGTTTACTTGGATTTTGGTGAACATATAATTTCGCACATACCAGTAATGCTACATGGTTTTAGGCTGTCAAAATCTCTCCTATCAAAAAATTAGAGAATTCATCTGTCAAGCTCCCACGTGGTTATTTTAATATCAATGGGAGACCTCATTTAAAAATTCGATACCCTAAGTAAAACACCATTTAGAGAAACTAAACTCGTTTCAAATATTCATAAAACTAGTCATCTATTTATACTAGTTGTATACTTTTTTGTGTTTTTTGAGTGTCATTAGTAGGCTTGCAGCATTGTATAGTTCATACTTCAACTAGAGTAATAATATCCTTGACGATTTTACAGAGATGATGTTGGCAAACGTTTCAGATCATGCAAAGTCGAGATAACCCTACTAATATAATTCATGTCTCTTTTGACATTGCTTAGTAAGTTATTCACTAGGTTGTTTAGCTAGTATTCGCATCGCCAGTGTGGAACCCTTTGAGTTGTAAAAAAACAAATCTGAAGTATCAGCGCGTTTAGACAAATCAGCATATTCACTATGGACAAAATTGCTTGCATTCATAAGATTACTATTCTCCACGATATCCTGGTAGCGTTGGCTTGAAACAAACGAATGTGCATTCAGAACTCAGTAACGCTCTTTTTTTCAAAGGCGAAGCCAGGGCATCATTCACTTCAGGTCGCAAAATATGCTTGCATTCGATGGGCTATTAGACCGACTTTTGTGCTTTGGAGGGTCCGAGTTTGTGCCTCCCCCACAGCCCCATGCGCGCGTAACATCACATCAATCCTCCACTACTTGCCAGGGTAGGTGAAAATTTGCTAACGGGAGCACCGCCAACAGCTCAAACAATGGAAATAGCAGAAGGCTTTGATCAAGGTTATACAACTCACTTTTGCAAAATCCACTTATGAACAAACGAAAATGAAGACTAGAGGATTCTCTCCTTCCCTTTGAAACCACTCAACAATTACGAAAGAAATAACCCAACCAATTGTTAAGTGCTTATGCCTACCAATGCTGACGCGTCACGTAAACATAAGTGAGAACAGCCTCTAGTAGGCAGAGCGGGTGGTATCATCAGGGTATTATCAGGCGCCTACATCTTAGCCGACTTGCTAGCTAATTGGTCCGAAGACAAAGGTAACCTTAGTTTCATCCGGGTGTGCACGGCATGAGTGCACGATGGGAGAGCCAATCAGGGCCCGCGATCGATCGAAAAGGTGCACGCGTGAGCCGGCGTGTACAGGACGTGGTTAATATGCGTCACCGCTAGCCGCATCATTCAGTAGGCGTTGGTAATGCTACATTAGACTAATTTTTGCTGCTTCTGCTCTCATGCGAAGAGCACTTTGAGCACTTCGATGCTGTGATGAGAAGGGGCACACCCAAATTCAGCTTTCCTAACTTTTCTAGCCTTATTCTGTTTTTAGTCTTAAATAATCGTCGTCACGGCCGTAACTGAATGACCACAACACACTGCGTGCGATAATTTTCTAACTTTTCATTGTGCTTATAGTCGAGTTAGCTCTAGACCATTTTATCATCATACTGAGCATGCTTGAGTAGACGGATTTTTTGTTTCCCATCCATCTTCCCCTAAAAATGACCACGGCTGAACTCAGCGCATGTTCGGCGTGACGCAAAAGCACCGCGGCCGTCTTTGCCTTGGCCAGGTGGCTCATTTGCAGACTGCACACTAAACAGACACAAATAGTCACCGAGACAGCGGCGCGGACGCTCAAACTCATTCCAACAAAATCCTTTCCAAAGCAAATATAAAGGACCGGAAAAGTTTAAATACTTCCTAAAATGAGACATAACTAATAGAGGACTGTTTTGCTATGATTGGAAGATTCATAACTTGTTGATATAGGATGAATTTATCTAAGTAAACAGAAATCTATGTGTATTTTAAGCAGAAATTACAATGGGAATTTGAAGAATGAATGACATTTTCAAAACATGGGACACAGTCTTATTTTAAACCACAAGTAAAACCAAGGGGAGCAGCCATTTTGTGATGGGGATTAAGTACACAACAAATATGATTAACAACGCCGGAGGTAGTGTTTGTAAAGCCAGTCGATATAAATTTAATGTCAGTAGATGCAAAGTATTTCACGGTTTGTCAATTTTTTCGCACCATCAACAACATTCAAAGTGACTTTGTCACTAAAATATTTCGTATGAGATACCCATTCGCCCTCATCTACTCCCAAATTAGTGACTTTAATGGGCATTTAGCACCAATGCCTATGTCAGTGTCTCTTCTCATTTGCAAAAGGAAATTTCAGTGAAACGGCAAAAACATGCACACAAATGGTCGCATTGACAACATTTCTCCCTAAGTGCTATTTCATGTATTTTTGCCAGGTTTTGGGTCTATTAGCGTCATTGTACTTTAAGGAAACGTTGTAAAGATGCAAAAGATTTCCCCATGGTGACAAAACAATTCTTAAAACATGCAACCACTACACATTTCAAATGCATTCGAATAGCCGTAAAAACAGGTATATCCTTGGCATCATCCAGCACAGTACAAAGTAGTTTTGTACTTTGCTGAATCCTTTTGAGCCGATTTCCCCATGGTGTCTTATAAGTGTGGAAGTTTCTGTAAAGTGATTCAGAGAAGCAAATATGAGGCACTTGATGCAAATCTACGCAACGCATCCCCTCGCTGTGGCAAATCCAACCTAACTCAGACTGACTTATGCCTCACTCTAATTGGCTTTACCGATCTAAATGGCGTGCGAAGTAATTGCTGCTGCGTTTGGCAACGCTTAATCATAGAGCCATGCAAGTTATCACCATTTATTAATTATTCCTGTATTTTGAATGAGGAAATGCTCCAAATCGAAAATGAATAGTATTATTTGAGATTGACAAAGTTGAATTAGCACAGAACCTAGTAGCCACTTTTTGGTTTTCCACATTAAATTTAGCCTAACCTTTTAAATTTAACCTATTATTTAGCGAAGAATAATGGCAGAACTTTGATCATACTTAACTCTCATCATCATAATACGGTTTTTTAGGCAAGGCCCCTCTATTTGATGGCCATAACTAGCAAATGGATACTCATGCCGTCTATTTGTTCATGTTTACCAGGATGGGATGCGTCTCAACTTCTTTCGAGACTGCCATTTGTAGCGGTACTCAAAATAGCCACATCCTGCAGTAATGACTTACTTTAACTCGACCGAGGAAAAAGTAAGACTGACAAAAATTTGCTGAACTGATTTAAGCAAGCTCTCTACACAGAAGGAATATTTTCGCCTCACAAATGTGCAATTCATGCTGTGCAAAAATGGTGGTTAGTACTAAAATGATCGGCGCAGATTCCCGCACAGCCGAATAGTAAATGAAGAAATGAAATTCACGATTTCCCATTAAAATTCATGTATGTACATTTTGGGTGGTGTCACATTGTTCAGAACGTTTACAATTAATTTTATGGATTTTGAATCAAGTATGAAAGTAATGCGCTGTAGTAATTTATATTTCCTAGACACTGGAAGGCACTACATTTGGGCACCTTAAGTAAATTCTAAAAAAGGAGTCTTGCGACCTCCCTAGAATGATTTGAGGTAAAGTACTCTACTAGACACAAAGCCTAACCTTTTGGGTAATACCAAAGTGAAGTGCATATTACTAGGTTACGTTAAACCCAGGTGCCTCAACATATGACATATTGCATACAGTTACGCATTAAAAATACTTAGAAACGACTGCATCCCTACATTAGAAAGCACTTCTGGGAGATGACAGAAAGTGTCTAAATTCAGGCCTTCTTACTTTTGGAGTTGACTAGAAGCAATGGCTGTTTTTGAAAATGGTATATAAAGGGAATACCTACTCAATTTCATAAGCGGACATAGATTTCCCTCCAAAGCACCAGGAGAAGAATATTTATTGTAGCCAGAAGTAGATTTTAGATTTCTTTAAAGCAAAACTGAAAATGCTTTACCAGTACTTCCTTTGGAACATAGGAAATAGCAGCATTTGTCAATGCAATTAAAATAAGAACGTATTATTATTAACACACGGGGAAGGAGTCAAAAAATCCAAGCCGCTATTGACAAGGCGGCCTATCGGTTTTAATATGGAAAGTGACGGTAGAGATTGCAGGCGAAATGGAAAGCAAGAAAGAGGAGTCAAAAGTGTTCGTGATCAAATATCTTCAATGTGCGTCCTATTTGTGCACCAAAGGCACCGTCGAACCTACCAACCAAGATGGGCACAAGTACGCACGGGGCTCCAAGGCGTGCCTTAGGTGCTACCAAATGGTCCATAACACTGCCGCACCAAAATTACATTTAGAAAATTATTATAATCTATTGTATTGCTATAATGGTACACAGTAGTATAACTTCATTCAATGTGACGGTCAATCTTTTGATCAATTTTACCTAGCCGAAAAGTCAATCCGCGCGAGCGCATTTGAATGAGGTACTAAAGTTCAGGCTGGACAAAAGCTTCAGCGGTATCACATCTATTTGTGTCCATGGCAAATCTCAAGTGAATTAGAACCAATAAAATTACTTTAGTTTTGAAGATGATTGTGATGCAAGTGCTCAAATTGGCCATAAGAAAATGCTTGAATACTGTCAAATACTTTCATGGGGAATAGATGGCTTTATTTAGTTGAACAATAACCAAGATTACTCTTACCCAATAAAATGAAACGAAGTTATGAGCACTCAGATGTTTCAATTACGAAATGAAACAATGATCCTTTAATCAAATCGCACTCA